CACTCACACTCACACTCACACTCACACTCACACTCACACTCACACTCACTCACTCACTCTCCCTGTCCCTCTCCCTCTCACTCTCACTGACACTCACACTCAAACTCAAACTCAGTCACTCACCACCACCGCCACCGTCACTACGATCCCCACCTTCATCACCACCATCACCTCTCTGAACCCCAATGCGTCTAGATCTCTAGACTTTCTGCTTATAGACCTCACACACACTGTTTGGGGTCTCTTGTCGGGATAATTTTTTCTATCTCGATCTTGCTTTGTTTCTGACTCCAGATTCAGGTTTTCCCCGTCTGGAGCCTCGCACGAGCAAAGTAGAGCCTCAAGACATCTGACAAGCCTTGAGGATGATCATATTTCTTGCTGTTGCTGCTTTCCCTTTCGCTTTTGGAGGAGCAGAATTCCCAAGATGCTCGAGATAGGGAGGAAGAGTCGCGGGAGGAAGAGTCAGAGTGGCGCGAGGAAGGGTGGCGGGAGGAAGAGTGGCCCCAAAAAGTTCGGGCCTTACAGAATGTTGCCGAAGTTTGCACTCCAAATCTTTGGACATGTCATATTTCAGGAACCTCCTTGCAAGAAGTTCAAGGGCGCACAAGCCAGGGGAGGTCCAAAGTTTTCTTCCCAGATATTCAGCAACACAAAATCAAAGGCGCCATGTGTGCCTTTGTTTGACCTTGCGTGCGCATCAGACAGCTGGACCAGGGCCGGCCCAAGATGAAAATGCTCCAATTCCTAGAGTTGCTGCCTCAACACATCAATCTGAAGCAGTTTCATGTTGATAATCTTCCGCATCCCATTTGATTTGGCGTCACAATCCATGAGGACACACCTCACTGGATTTTCCTCGACGAGCTTCCTGAACATATGGAGGCGATCCCCACAGACTGGACATCCTGCAGACGCTTCCACCCAAAATGTTCAATATGATTCTGTTTTGTTCGTTGTTATGCAAACGCTGCCTCACCTTGGCGGACACCACTCCCAAACAATGCCAGGGCTATGTGCAGCAAGGTCTTGTCTTGGCAACTGAGGGGAACACAAGGACTGAAGCGGACTCAAAGAGCAAGTCGAAGGAAGGAAAATAACATTGGATGTTTTGGTCTTGAAGGCACTGGGAAGTCAGATGAAGTTTGCAAGGGAAATGGTATTCTGTTGCTGGTTTCAACAAGACATGAGTAGCCAAAAAGATGATTGGTTTTGTTGTTTGAATCGTTTGATCCGTAGTTCCGGGGCGTTGTAATTTTCGAATGTCCGGAAAACGATAATCCTAAAGATAACAACGCAGCTTGCTGGAATCCTGGACCTCACTTCAAACCGATGTGCCATCACACAAGGTCAAGGTCACTTGCTCAAAGCAATCCCAAGGTGTCCCTTCAGTTCATGAATGTCCATGGTTTGTAGCACAGAATAATACAGAAGACAGATGAAAAATAGGCGCCTGGCTCGCCTGCCAACTGTTTGTCATGCGGACAACTTTGAGACCTTTGGAACACCGTCAGAAATCCAAAAGTCAATAGTGCTTGACAATATATCCTTATCAAGTTTGTCAGTGGCTCACTTGAGGAAGGCCTTGTATAGCACAGCTGATGACGCATTGGGTCATGTGTTGAGACCTTAGCTTGGGCAGTTTGCCCCGTCAGATGGTCTTTGTTAAACGCTCGGCTTTGCCCGGGGCCCAGGTTAGTGGAGGACGATGTGCTCTTTGAGGATGATGCTGACTGGACAAAGTTCCCAGAGGTGAAATGAGTAGTGCCCCCTTGTTACTAGTAGCGATGCACTTGTTACTAGTAGCAATGCACTTGTTCCTAGTAGTACGGCCAGGAGCCCCTAGTAGCTTTTTGCTCCTAGTAGCGATGCCCTTGTT